TGGCTGCAGTGGATCGGGCAGAACCTCCCAATAAATGGAAAAAAACGGACCCGGTCTGGAAAGAGGAGGCGAGAGGCAGGCTGGTGTTTCTGGGCCCATTTTAAGCACTGAATATACCTGTTTAGGAAAAACGCCTCCCCCAATACCCAGTGATGGAGACCCACAGGCCTACCAGGGCCAAGGGCTTCCCTCTGCCCCAGGGGGGGAGGGGGGGTGATCCTGCAGCCCCACCATGCAGCTGCCCCCCCATTCCACTTCTGCAGCTTTTGTAGGTCTGAAAGTCTTGGGTTTCTTCTGAGGAGAGAGGTGGAAGGGAAAATTAATGAGTGGAGAAAGACATCAGCCCACCTCTCCTCTGGATCAAGGGCACAGTTTTACACCCAGCAGAGGGGCCGAGATAAAACAGGGGCTTGAAAGCTCCTCTGATTGAGTTAGATGACAATTGAGTTGATTGAATTCTGGAAAAATATCATTAGTTGCTTAGTTTGTATCTCTTAGATTAAATACATACAAAGGGAGAAGTCAATCAGCCTTGTTCCCCTTGCAGGCAGAGGAGGAGCTGCCCCAGCCCAGCCCCAGCGATGTGGGGATGGGTGCTGGGGTGAAAGCCCCTTTCTTGTGGTGCTTCCCCAGGTCAGATGACTGGTGAGGTCCCTTTTTAAGGCATGTGCAGATGAAGGAGCTGTCCTTACACCTCTGCTGGGTCCAAGCCCAGCGCTGCCGGTGCCGAGCAGCTGCAGGATTCATCTGTGGTGGGACCATGAGCTGGGAGGTGATGGGATGCAGCCCATGTTTTCCAGGGCTGCTCTTTAAATAAAAAAACCTGAGCCTTTCTCCATTAAGCTTGAAAGAGAGCAGGGCAGAGACTGGTTTGACATAGATAAGGGTGAAATTCTTAGATGAATCGTTTTATTGAAATCAATAAACTGGACTTGGATCGATTAACTCCCCATCTCACCGCAGTGGGGATAGGAAATGAATGCGTGGGCTTTTCTGCTATAAATATCAACAGTTTCATTGTGAATGCTATAAATCATAATACTTCGGGGGGCTGTAAATTCAGGTTCCCTCTCTGTCTTGCCTTGTATAAACAGCTCTTGGCCCCAGTTTGAAAGCTTTTGGGCAAGAGCTGTGGGGTGGTAAGAGAAAATGTTACGCAGGGAATATGAGCATGTCGGGGCTTCTGCAAATGCGATCCAGAGAGAAATCGGTGAGAAATCTCCCAGTGACTCACTGCAGAGTCAGGCTTTACAGGGGGATGATTTTATATACCTGTTGCTGAATGCGTGCGTGCTTCACCCGGCTGAGTCAAGACAACCCTGCAGCGGAAGGGATTGCGACGCCAGCGGGCTGGTCGCTGGAAATCAGGAGTTACAGGGAACCAAGCTGGAAGATGTCCCCAGGCCTCATTTCTCTCTCCCATGTCACCTCTTTTTCTGCTCATAAAATCTTCACGAGCAGCGTGTCAGAGCCTCATGCTTCCTCCTTATTCGTAATTATGTGCAAACTTCCCTGTGAATTGCACCCCAGCTCTATAAAAAGCTCAGGAAGGCGGCTGGAAACGGTGGCTGGCTGAACTTTGAAATTCACCCTCTGCTCGTTAGTTATGCAAATCCTCAGATACTGCCTCTGGTCTGGCTTTTAGGTCACTAATCAAGCCCAGGCCCGCAGTGCTAAATATTGCAAGTGAAAGTGCAATTGGGGCATCCCTTGGGGAGGTGAAGTTGCCCGGGGCTTCACATGGTATCAGTGCCTGTGGTGCCCGGGCAGGTTTTGGGGTGATGGAAAGCAGATCGCTCCGAGCATGGGCGAGCAGCGGTTTGCTGGGCATGCACTTTTCTGTCTCAGTTTTCACTATTTCCAGCTCGGTTTTCCAGCTCTATTTGTTGTGCTAGTGAGGTCCATGAAAGCTGGAGGAAAAAGTAAAAACCCCAATAATGAGGCAGAAACATTTCCCCTGGACAGGGGGGGTTCATGCGGTGCGTGGGACGTTTTGGGGAGATGGCAGTGGCTGGAGGATGGTGTGTTTCCCCGGTCAGTACCTTCATGGGGGACCCCTCTTTAGGGCATGGTCGCCTCCCGTGAGACGCTTTGCTCCCCCTGATCACTCGGTGTGTGCGTGCGTTGGGCCCCATCGGTCTTCTCCCCTTGAATTATTAACCCACAGCCCGCTCCTGGCCCCAGCTGGGATTTGTTGACTGCACAGCCTGCTGGCCAAGGTACAGGCCTTTCAAACTTTCCTAGAATTGACTTTCCTTGAACAAAAAGGGCTTCCCTGGAGCACTGGCGGTACTTACGTGATGGGCTTGGCTGACTAATACCCTGGGATTAGCAGAGGGACACTTTAAACCTCTGGCCAATGGCAGATGTTTCCTATGGGGGACCCTTCAAGGACGCCCACTCCAGTCCTGTTAGCTTTGCGATCGCCCGGATAAGGGGCCAGAGCCTTCCCCCACGCTGCCTCATGGTCAGGATGGGCTGAGCCCTATGGGGCTGCAAAGGGCGAGAGGAGTCCCAGTGCCCAGCCGGCCACACCACCGCCTTGCTGGCCTCCTCCTTCTGCCACAGCCGGGCCAAATCCAGCCAGGCGGCTGATCCGGAGGAGCTGGATCCGGGCTCTGTGCCGCAGGGTTGGCATGAAGGTGATGCTTTGAAACGGGCCGTGTCCAGCTCGCATGCGCTCGCCAGCCCACGCGCTGCCCCAGCGCTCCTCGCCCTCCCATGCTGGTGCGGTCTTTGACCTGACACCAGAGCCTGGCTGGCGGTGCTCAGCTCGGCGCTCGTAGGAGCAACCGAAAGAACCTGCCAGTTGCCAGAATAAAGGGTTGAATCACCGCAGGGCTGGGAAATGCTTACCCCAACGCTCAGCCTCAGGCTGCTGCCCCCGGGGTTGCAGCATCTCCTGTCGTGTTGCTCTATGTTTGAGAATGCGGGGTTGTGATGGGGAACTGCC